TGGTCACGGCCGACAACTGGTCGTCCAATGTCAGCCGCGAATCCAGGAGAACACCCAAGTTGCGGACCCGATCTGAGGGGGCCAAAGTTTCGCCCCCTATAGTCAGCGATGGAATCAGCTGACTATGCCGAGGCGCTGGTAGCCACAGCCACTCGGTCTTGGACGGGTTGAGTCTGAGTCTGTTCCTCCCCATCCAGACGCCTACCCCTGCGCTAGGGGATGCCGCAACGGTCGTAAGTGTAAAAAAGGGTCATAAGCCATTTTTTCAGTCCTGCTGTTGTAACTTTGAATGGTCACTAAATGAACTGTCGTAAGTTGAGGACCGCCTGTATTATATTGATTTAAATCAAGATATCATTTATCCAACCTGAACTTGAGTGGTTGATCCATACAGGTAAATTACTTGTACAGAGGTAATCCTCGTATTACGACTCATTATGGACAGTCATAAAATGGGTCAATTTGCGGTTTGTCCTGGTTATCATCCAACATGATAATATAATTGCATTATGAGGAAGATTGATGCTGAATCCTGAAAATTAAAAGTGAGCTGTAAACCTGTTGCATTTATATTAAGTCTTTCAAACACTCCTCGCAAAGACCACAATTATTCAGTTGTGTTATCAGTGTAAGCTGCTGTGTTTTCATGCAAGATTATTTTTCATTCTTGGGGTAATTCTGAATGGTTGTTATGTATGTTGGAAAATACGTAAACATTTAAAATATTCAATATTTAAAGGGCTGGAATTGTATCATATAATAAATTAAGGATGGGAAATGGCTTTGCATAGGTAGTCCTCAACTTACAACCATTTGTTTAGTGACCATTCAAAGTTACAACAGCATTGAAAAGAGTGACTTATGACCGTTTTTCACACTTACGACTGTTGCAGCATCCTCACGGTCATGTGATCAAAAGTGACAACTGGCTCTTATTTATGACGGTCGCGGCATCCCGGGGTCACAGGATCCCCTTTTGTGACCTTTTGACAAGCAAAGCCAGTGGGAAAGCCAGATTCACTTAACAACCGTGTTGCTAACTTAACAACTGCAGGGGTTCACTTAAAAACTGTGACAAAAAAGGTCATAAAATGGGAAAAAACTAATGACAAACGTCTCACTTAGCAACAGAAATGTGGGGCTCATTTGTGGTTGTAAGTCAAGGACTACCTGTTCTAAAAAAACTAATGGGAAGGTTTTTATCATTTTTCAAAAGTTGCAATCGGTTTTGTACATCCACAAAACCTTTTGTAACAGAGATTTTCTTTTTTTTCTTCTTTTTGGAGGGATTTTTAAAAACATTCTTTATCTTTTTTCATGCCACGCCTTTCATATGACCGAAGAGGTATAAATGATGCCAGAAACCATGTGAAAAGACAAAAGATATAGAGGATTAATTTCATAAGTCAGGAGAAAAAATGTGTTTCTGGCACGTGGTCCTACAATGAAGGGTCATGAGTCTAATTTTAATTTTTTTAAATTAAGTCTTTAATTTTAATTCGTTATTAAACTTTAACCTGGGAACTAGTAAATTGCAGGTTACACAGAAGTGGTCTTTGCAATTTTTTTCTTACTCTCTGGAGTTATTGTTTTCCTCTAATATTTACAAAAACATCTTGGTTCCATGAAAAAAACAGGTTAAAAACCCACAAGGGATGAAGAAGGTTTTCTGGCATTTGCTGCTTGGGTCCTTTTCTGATCCTGTCAATCACAGAAATCCCCACCTGTCTCTTTGCACACATCATACAAGCAAGCAGAGCAACTTGTGTGAGCAAGCAGATTTTTCTGGAACCTTTAACCTTCCTAACTTCACGATGCCCTTGTTACCAGAATTGCAGAATAACAAGAGTTGGAAGGGACCTTGGAGGTCTTCTAACCCAACCCCCTGGTCAGGCAGGAGACCCTATGCCAGGGGTGTCAAACTCGCAACGTCACGTGACGTGTCGCGACGCATCGCAACTTTTTTTTCCATTGCCGGCAATGGGGTGGGCGCGGTTTCGCCATGACACATCCGGCCCGCGGGCTGGCAGTTTGACACCTTGCCCTATGCCATTCCAGACAAAAGGCTGTCCAATCTCTTCTTTAAAAGCCTCCAGTGATGGAGCACCCACAAGTTATGAAGGCAAAGCCGTTCCGCTGATTAATTTTTCTCAGTGTCAGGAAATTCTTCCTTAGTTCCAGGTTGCTTCTCTCCTTGATCAATTTCCATCCGTTGCTTCTTATCCTGCTTTCAGGCGCTTTGGAGAACAGAATCATAGAATAACAGAATTGGAAGGGACCTTGGAGGTCATCTAGTCCAAACTCCTCAAACAGGGGACCCTACACCAGTCTGGACAAATGGCTGTCCTGTCTCTTCTTAAAAAGCCTCCAGGGATGGAGCACCCACAAGTTCAACCAGCCGCTCCCTCTGATTGATTGTTCACTGCTAGGAAATGTCTCTATAATTCTAGACTGGATCTTTCTTTGATAATCTTCCATCCGTTCTGCCTTCAGTTCCTTTGGGAGAGCAGGTGTTCCCCTCTTCTCTGTGGCAGCCCCTCAATATTGGAAGACACTATCCTATTCCTCCCCCCCCCCCCCAGTCCTTCTCTTCCTTAAACTAGACAATCCCACTTCCTGCCACTTTCATTGTAGGGTTTAGCCTGCAAAAAGCTTGTCCCCACGCTGGCTCAACTTTTACCCCAAACTAGAAATGCCCCACCCATAGCTGGTTCGGCAGCGCCCACTCCTCACCGCAGCCCGTCCGGCTTGATGCCTTTTGAGGCACCGCAGGAGAGAGATGAAATTTAATCTGCCTGCCAACTGACACCTAGGACTATTTTGGTGATGGACAGCCGAGAGAGGATCACGTCAGCAAGCCAACATGACTGGTGGAGACCGTTCAAAGGAGGAGCTGGGTCTCAGCTAAAGCTGGGGGTCGTCACGGCGAGTCTGGGGGCTTGCTTTATGCACATCCCCAACCTCACTGGGGTTTCTGTTTTCTTCTTCTTCCCCAGGGGGCTGGGAGGGGGGGGAAAAAGGGTGCCCTGGGCCCTCCTAGCCTCCTCTCCACCGTCTTCTGGATGGTAGCCGAAATTGTCAAGTATCTGTGCATCCTGTTCCAATGAAAGAGGCTTGAAACGATCCCCCAGGTAAGATCCTTCAATTTCACTCTGGACAGGACAGACCAGAGAATGGTGGCTTGTTGAGAAAGAGGCTCCAGAGGTTTTTTTTTTTTCCTCTCTCCACCCATTTCCATGTTGGTTTGTGAGGCTGAAAGTAAAAACAACAACAACACTTCATCAATTTTGTTTTTCAGTGTTGGTCTTCAGCCTCAGAATAAGAGAGTTGGAAGGGACCTTGGAGGTCTTCTAGTCCAACCCCCTGCTCAGGCAGGAAACCCTATACCCATTTCAGACAAATCACAGGCCAAACCTAGAAAGCAGTTTGGGTTTTTTTTCTGGGCGAGGCCAGTTCAACCCAGGCAGAATTTTAAATGTTGATTTAAAAGTAGAACAACTTGGATTTTTATGGGGGTTTAAGCAGGAAAATGCTCTTTTTGAATCGCATGGGGTGGGTATATATGGCACTGATTTTTGGACTTGGCTTTTTCTTCCTAAATGAGGAAGCGCTTTGCAAAAATTCTGCGTTCGGTGAACATCCAGATTTCAGCATGGGAGCAATTCTAACTATTAAATCTCCCCTGCTTATTCTCAGCTTGAATTTCTCCAGGGGAGCTTTGCAAAAAAGATAGAGCCCGACAGCTGAGGTTATTTTAAGAGCCATCGGTCAGTGGTCAGGCCTGGCTGGAATGGAGGGGCTGAGTCCTGTTTGCTTGTTATATACAGCCCCGGGGATCAATAGGCAAAGCATAACTTTAAAAAATATATATATATATATTTATTTAGTAGAGCAGAGCGCCGCGTTGGGTGGAATCTGCTTTGTAACATTTGATTGCAACGGAGATTATTCCTTTGAAAGTGTCGATGCAGATGGGAATGTTATTTTTCCAAAAATATATTTGGAGGCAGTCCTCGACTTAACAACGGTTCGTTTAATGACCGTTCGAAGTTAAAACGGCACTGAAAAAAGTGACTTACGACTTACGTTTTTCACCTTCCCATGATCAAAATCCAGATGCTTGGCAACTGGCAGGCACTTATGACGGTTGCAGTGTCCTGGGGTCTCTCTTCTGACCAGCAAAATCAATGGGGGAAGCCAGATTCATTTAACAACCTTAGGACTGCAGCGATTCAACTGAACAACTGTGGCATGAGGTTGTAAAACGGGGCAAAATCCACTTAGTGTCTCGCTTAGCAAACAGAAATGCTGGGCTCCATTGTGGTCGTAAGTTGAGGACTACTTGTATTAGATGCAAATTTGATTTTCCTATTGGGAAGAGGCTTGGCATAGCTTCAGTTCTTTTTATGCTTTGATTACAGTTACAGCCCTGCGAGGTAGGACAGGCTACGAAAGGGGTAGGAGGTGATTCACCTAAAGTCACTGTAATTATTGGGGATTGATCTGGATTGCCCTGCAGAGGCTTTGTTGAATTTGGTAGTATATAATCATGATGGCTTTAAATTTGTTGGATATAAGGAATGTTAATTTTTGCTTGTACCTTAATGATTACTTGAATATCGGTCATCTTTGATTTACAACTGTTTGTTTAGTAACCAAAGCTACAACAGCACTGAAACAACTGGTCCTCGTATTTATGACTGTTGCAGCATCCCCATGGTCATGCGATTAAAATTCGGGTGCTTGGCAACGAGCCGGTATTTATGACAGTTGCAGCATGCCAGGGTCATAAGATCCCAGCCAAAGCCAAGTCAAGGGGGGGGGGAGCTGGATTCACTTAATGACCACAGGATTCACTTAACAGCTGCAGTGATTTGCTTAACGAAAAGTGTTTAAAAGGGTTGTAAAAGCAGGGTGACTCCCTTAAGAACTGCCTCCCTTACTGGTGGAAATTCTGATCCCAATTGTGGTCGTAAATCGAGGATATTAGACTAAAAAAAGATTGGCTCTAACTAGGTGAGAATTATCTCTGTATTATTAAGCCAAACATGCATCATTTTGTATTGAGTGTAGGTTGTCCTCCTCTTACTGCCAAAACTGAGGCAAAAATTTATATTGCTAAGCAAGACAGTTGTTAAGTGAGCCTTACCTATTTTTGTGACTTTTTGCCACAGTTGTTAAATGAAACTGCCATTGTTAAATTAGTAACACGGTTGTTAAGTGAATCTGGCTTTCCCATTGACTTTGCTGGGTTCATGTAATCCCAGGACACTGCAACCGTCATAAATACGAGTCAGTTGCCAAGTGTCTGAATGTTGATCACGTGACCCCAGGGATGCCGCGATGGCTGTTAAGTGGGAAAAACAGTCATAAGCCACTTTTTTCAATGCTCTGAGCAGTCACTAAACGAACTGTTGTAAGTCGAGGACCACCTGTGGAGCAAAACATTGCGTTGGAAGACCATTGCTGTGTTGTTTTGTGTGATGTTTGTGGGGCTTCTGTGTGACAGAATGCTATTTGACTTGTCCTCGTCGCTTATCCTGTGAGGAAAAACACTCTTCATATGCTCAGAGGTGCCCTCTTTTCTAAGTAGCTGGATGGTTCTGAGAAAAGTTATTAGACTGTTTGCAAGTCAGATAGTTTTGTGTTTGTAGAATTCTCAAAAATTTCATTTTGTTTAGCAAGGGAAAATTTGCACTTAATGAAAATAGAAGGATTAAAACCAGATTAATCAGAGCTTGATTAATTGATTTTAAATCAGTCCTTGATTTAGGATCACAGTTGGGACCAGATATTTCACAGCTAAGCAAGGCAGTTGTTAAATGAACTGTGCCTGGTTTTTTTTTTTGCCATGGTTGTTAAGTGAACCATTGCAGTCGCTAAATGAATTATGTGGTTATTAAGTGAATTGGGTTACCCCCTTTGACTTTGCTTGTCAGAAGCCATCATAAATCAGTTGCCAAGTATCTGAATTTTGATCACATGACTCTGAGGATGCTGCGACCGTTGTAAGTGGGAGGATCAGCCATAAATTGCCTTTTTCAGTGCCGTTGCAACTTCAAATGGTCACTAAATGAATGATTGTAAGTCAAGGACTACCGTGCAGGCTGTCTTTGACTTACATCAGTTTGTTTAGCGACTGAAGTTACAACAGAACTGAAGAAAGTGACTTTTTCACACTTATGACCCTTATAGCATCCCCGTGGCCACGTCATAAAAAATTCAGGCCCTTGGCAACTAAGTCATATTTATGACGGTTGCAGTGCCCCGAAGTCATGTGATCCCCTTTTGTGACCTTCTGACAAACAAGGTCAATGGGGGAAGCCAGATTCACTTAACAATTGTGTGGCTAACTTAACAACTGCAGGGATTTGCTTAACAACTGTGGCAAGAGAGGTCGTAAAATGGGGCAAAACTCACTTAACAAATGTCTCACTAGCAACATAAATTTTGGGCTCAATTTTGGTCGTAAGACGAGGCGTATCTGTATTGAATGCCTAACTCTCACCCTTGTTTTTCTACCTAAAAATTATCGGAGTTGAAGAGCAACTGATTTTACGCCCTTTTTTTTGCTAAGGTTGTTAAGTGAATCACTGCAGTCGTTAAGTGAATCACTGCAGTCGTTAAGTGAATCACGTGGTTAGGAAAGATCAGGGAAAGGACCACTCCCAACTGCAATGGGCGGTCAAAATCTGCAAGATGGCAGATCTGGCGTTGCAAATGTCCATCGCCTTTAGTGTCCGTCATCTTGCAGATTCTGACCTCTGTGGCTATTAAGCTTTTAATCCAGTGTGGCTAAATCTGACTTAAATCTGGATTCGACTCACAAAAATAAGGCAAGAATTCAAAGTACTCCAGGCCAGACCTGCCACTGGTGGGAAGTGGGTTTGAAGTTTGCAAACAGGTGGAAACCCCATGTGGGTTGACTGGTATGCAATGCAGGGGGGGAGGGGCAGGCGAAGAAGGAGGGTGGGTGTTTGGTCAGGAGGAGAGGACAGCTGGGACCAAGTCATCAGGGTTTTAGGAAGCAGCACAGGGGACACTGTGGGCACAATAGCCCATTAGCAGACTGGGGAGAGAGATTTGGATGAGGCTGAGAGGTTTTGAATATGTGCTGAAAGTAGACGGAGATCTGGAGCACAATGAGGCTGGACTGGGACGACAGCCATTCTGTGGACAGCCTTGAATGCTGGCCCTCCTTCCTTCCTTCCTTCCTTCCTTCCTTCCTTCCTTCCTTCCTTCCTCCCTCCC